ATTTCCCAAGTTTATAAGCATGGGTACTTATTTGCTTGTAATAACATTACAGTAGCTAAAAAAAAAAAAAAAACTGACAGAGAAAATGTTGGGTCATATTTAATATACTATGCAAAATAGCATGTGGAAATTTCTGAGCTTCTGACAATTTGGGAATAAAAGCACCCACATGAAGGGTCATTTATATTGTCTAATGCAGCCCATAATCCTTGTCAAATTGGGTTGCAAACAAGCATGACCAATGATAATGCGTGTCGTCAACTGACAGCACAGGCACAAATTCAGTTCATATATACTGTAGGTTTAGAATAATGGTGTAAATACCAGTAAACTGGCTACTAGAGACTTGGGTAAGTCAAATTGCGTGATGACTTGAATATAAAAATAGGGTCAGTGGGAAAGCTAATGCCTTCTCTGTGCTATTGTTTCATTGTGTCTGTAGTAAATCCTTTCATTTTTTTTAATGCCAAAATAGGATTTCCCCAGATGCAAGCTGTTGTCATATCTGGCTCTGCTGTCTAATGCAAATCATGGATTTGAAAATATGTGTTATTTGAGAAAACAGTTGTACACAGTCACAAATCTTAAAGCAAAGAAAACTAATGCATCTATAAAGAAATCATTCAATAAAATTCTTTTTGTTTGATGTTTTTCAGCTTTAATAAAAATCTACAGTGATTTATACAGAGGGTGACAGTTCAATAGGACCATTACCGCCGCACTTGATGCTGCGGCAAGACTAATGGTTTATAAAAAAGTGTTTTTAGGTGTAACAGCAGTTTGCAACTATGCCACCAGGGGGTACAAAAGAACAGGATGCGAATGAACAGAAATATACAGTAGCTGTAAATACCCTGCTACTTGTAAATAAAGATAAAATAGCGAAACTAAGCATTTTAACTCCTTCATAAATCTTTAAAAAGCTTTACTATTGTAAAATTAAGTGCAATGGGGATTCAACTTGTAAATAAAAGCAAAACAAATGAAAGATAACTAAAATAAAAGTACAAACATAAAAAAGCAGTGTTAAGTGTTTTATAGAGATGTACAGTATTTGTTATTTTCAAAATCATGGAACTAAGACCGGCAATAAATAAGCATGTCATATAGGCTACCTTTTCATTTACCTTGTCTTTGTTGCTTATTTGGGTTTAGTAATAGATGTATTTATTTAGACATATTAATGAATGTGATTTTAACAGGATTCACAAAGATCGATTCTTTTTTTTTTTTTTTTTTTGAAGGGCCTGTGTTGTGCGAGTTTACAGTAAGCTAAATGTAACATACTACACTGACACTTTCATTTTAGAAATAAATACTTAAATACTAAATATTAAAAAAAATCCTTTTCTAAATCTTAATTAATAAACATATTGAAGTCTTAACATCTGTAGATGCAGATTGTGTTATCAATTTTCATTTAGTTCAGTTAAATGTTCATCATTTTAGTTCCTTTTTGTGACTTAATAAGCATGCAGAATAGGCCTCTAATAAATTGATCGATACTTGGCGATTAAATCATTTCATGATAATAGATTTATTTATTTATTTATTTAAATTTTTACATCATTCAGAATGTCAGGCTTGTTTGTTCTATCTCAGGTGTGTAGGCATTCTCCTTTAAGAAGTCTTTCAGAAGTCGCTGCTGGTTTATACAAATAAAACACAAGTCTCTCTGCGCCATCTCACAGCTCCTTGATCCACTTATTGCCCTTTAAACTGCCACTCCACAACTGCGGTTTCCAGCCCCGTGACCTGAGTACTAATAGTGCCCGCAGAGAAGAACGTTACCACACATACACATTACCAGCAGATTTTTTTTTTCTCTCCCTACAACCGTTTAAGGTTATGTTTGTTTTATCATCAAGGATAAGTAGCATTTAGTGTGAACCTTAAATCTGAGAGCATATAATAGGATGATATCCGCTGGGCATTGACCTGTCAGGTTTGTAACAGTGGCCTGGTGAGACTGAGTAGCCTGTAATTTGGTGGGCGGTTCAAGGTGCCCTGCTCTTTCAGCTCGATAGCTCTCTCCGTCACCGTTGATCATATGTGTGCAGTGTAAGATCTATTACCCACTGAAACTCATGTCACTGTACAGTACAATTCAAAGACAGTTTTTGAGACAGCTCGTCTTTCAGAGTTTTACTCTCTCTGCTTCGATTGCCATTCATTGCCGGAGAAAAGAGATCTGTGTGTGGGGACCAAACACAAACATGCTTTTATAGTTGTGATATTGCAATAATGTTCATGTCTGGTTACTGGGCTGGCCAATCCTGGAGTACCTTCACCTTCTTTGCTTTCAGGAACTTCGATGTGGAGGCTGAAGTATGATAAGGAGCCCTGTCCTGCTGAAGAATTTTCCCTCTCCTGTAGTTTGTAATATAATGGGCAGCACAAGTGTCTTGATACCTCAGGCTGCTGAACTTGCCATCCACTCTGCAGATCTCTTTCATGCCCCCACACTGAATGTAACTCCAAACCTTGGTTTTTCCTTTACCGAACGTGACTGATTTCTGTGAGAGTCTTGGGTCCATGAGGGTTCCAATAGATCTTCCGTAGTATTTGTCATGATTGAGATGCAGTTCATCAGCGATTCATCTGAAAAATCCATCTTCTGCCACTTTTCCAAGTGATCAACTAGAAGTCAAATTTTTATTTGTTGCTCTTACAACTGGGATCGACAACAAGACTTTTGTCAGGCAGTGTACACATACGCACACACATTTAACAGGTTTCTCATTCACAAAGTTGTTTTGCACTGTTCGGACAAACGCTGCTCATTTTCATCTCTGAACGCATACTAGCCTCCGGGTTTCCAGAGCTGCACAAAACTGTACTGTGTATTTACATAGTGTTCATGGATGTAACCACGAGAAAACAACAATATTGTTGTACCAGACCTACTGTCAAAAGCTAATTCATTATCAGCAGACTTTTCAGACAGGGTGGCCTATTTTGTCATTTCATTTGGCAAGATTTTTGAATTTAAGATGTGGTGGAAAATTTTACAGATTATAAAAGACTATCGTTAGTTAGCTGATTTTGGCTAGAGTGGATATTACATACAAATTTATACAATTTAAAGTGAGGAAAAATGTACAATTGTTAAGAGATTTGACCCCAACCACCACCCACCAAATCATCATAGGGTGATGAACAAATAGTACTAAATTGTGTTTATGAGATCATATAAATTTATATAAATTAGCCACTAAATCAAAAATGTAATAAATGTATTGTGACAAACAATCACCCCTTCCATACTGTAGTCAAGCGAATTTCTAATTTATAGTAAGTAAGTTATGTGGATTTATGTAGCGCATTTATTGTGTATGGCCATACACCCAAAGCGCTTCACAATCATGAGGAGTCTCTCCAAACCACCACCAGTGTGCAGCATCCACAGGACAGTGGTGCCAGTGCACTCACCACACACCAGCTATTGGTGGAGTGGAGAGACAGTGATGTAGCCAATTCGGTGGATGGGGATAATCGTGAGGGTCAATGGAGGGAATTTGGCCTGGACAGTGGGGTCACACTTTACAATAATGTTTCATTAGTTAATTTTATTTAATGTATTTACTAACATTAACCAAGAATGAAAAATATATGTACAATAGTGTACATTATTTATTAATCATAGTTTAACATTTACTAATGCCTTATTAAAATTGGAATTCATGCTTGATACCTTTAGTTGATGCACCGTGAGTTAACATGAAGAAAGAATAAAGAACTGGATTTTCATTAGCTAACATTAACAAGCATGAACAAATGCTGTAATAAGTGTTTTGTTCATTGTTTGATTATTTGATCTTTGGACTGGAAATGAAACAAAACAAAAATAAAGTATAAATTTTTTTGTATTGTGGTTATTTAAATTCTCTACCTGAATATTGTTAGACTCCCCAGGAAAATAGTCAAATAGAGCTAATCAAACCATCTTGTGAAACTGTATTCATATCGCAATATTTATCACAAAAAAATAAAATATGGCAATATCTGATTTTTCCAGTGTTGTGCAGCCCTTATGGTAATGCTTTTTCAACATTTAGATGACCAAACTGGTCATGTTTATTTTTTTTCATGTTATTTATCAATACTTTATGCAGGCACTGCAATAATTCGTTTTAAAAAGTGTTTTATGTTTCTTGTTATATTTTTACATTCTTAATTGAACGTTTGCACAGAATAAAGTAAGAAAGATAATTATATTTGAAAGAGTACATATTTGAGTATATACTTTAAAATGTCAAAAAGACGTGGTTATTTCCATATACTTAATAATAACTAATTGAATATATTGTGCATATACAGTTGAAGTCCGAAATATTAGCCTCCCTGAATTATTAGGTCCCCTGCTTATTTTTTTCCAAATTTCTGTTTAAGGGAGAGAAATTTTTTTTTCAACACATTTCTAAACATGATAGTTTTAATAACTCATTTCTAATATGATTTATTTTATCTTTGCCATGATGACAGTAAATAATATTTGACTAGATATTTTTCAAGACACTTCTATACAGCCTAAAGTGACATTTTAAAAGCTTAGTTAGGTAAACCAGGCAGGATAGGGTAATTAGGCACGTGATTGTATAATGATGGTTTGTTCTGTAGAACAATATGTGTCTTGCTCCTTGGTGCATTCTAATTAAACATAAACATAATCATGATAGAACATTGAGAAGAACTTTCTAAACATGAATAGTTTAAGCCTATACACAACTGGAAGCTATCTGACTGTAGATATACTGTGAGTCAATGGCTATACATGAGAATTATAAATAATGCACATGCACTGTGCAAAAGGGATATTTTTAAGGCAAGCAGTGCGAAGTACAAGATGATTTGTATTGCATTGGCCAAGCGCTTTGTAGCAGCAAGTGTTTCTAAAAGTGACTAATGCATGTGTAGCAAAAAAAGAGTGTCACTGCAGGTGTTGGATTCTGTGAGATTTCAAAGTTTTGCATTCTTTCTTGTGTTTTATGTACTTTTAGGTACAGGAACTTTTGGGAGGGTGTTTCTGGTGAAGGATAAAAAGACTAGAGGATTCTTTGCTCTGAAGGCAATGAAGATCCCTGATGTCATTCGTCTAAAGCAGGAGCAGCACGTACATAATGAAAAAGAGGTTTTGACGGAGGTGAACCATCCTTTCCTTGTCAGACTGTGAGTAGACATTACACAACATCAACATTTTAAATCTGTTTATGTCTTGTTAGTTCATAATGTTAAGAACTTAAAGTAGGTTATCTGTGTTAATATTTCAGTATCCTGTTTAAACAGTTCAAAACATGCTGTGAGAGCACGTCGTTTCACCATTCCAGTCAATTCAGAGCTTTGGATTTATTGTAGCATTTATTAGACATTATAAAATACTGATCCGTATTATGCTATTTAATAGGGGTTTAACGGATCATGGTTGAATGAATGATGAACAATAAATGATAATGATTTGCAAATGTTTATTAATCTTTCAAATCGCTGCATTCAAATCTGCATTTGATCAAGAGAGGTTCAGTTTTTACACCTTTTTAGTTAGTTACAAAGAATTACATAACACAGAAGTACTGGGATAACAGCTTATAGTTCAGATGTAAACACTGATATGTATGGTAAAGATTAAAATCACCCTTTTAATGAAACTTGACGCTGGCTAATGTTGTAGCAGTTACATTGTTTAACCAAAGGGTTAAACAATCAAAATTATGTCACTGAATAGGTTTCCAAAAATGATCCACCTATAATGAAACATGAAGTGTTATAAATTAAGATTAAAGTTAAATTAATTTCAAAGTTCTGTTTGTTAAAACCAATGTTTTTTGTAGTAATAATTTTGTATAAATGGAAAGCAAGTGACATTTGTCTCCTCTCTTTTTTTGTTAATTCGAAAATGGTCCAATCAGTGACGGAAAAACCATAGCGTGAGATCCGAACCATGAGATTTGTGGTCTGTTACACCACTACTAGTGATTCTCAACCTAGGAGACTTAGGCAGCGTCTCAAATCAGTTCCATTGTTTAGTAGTCATGTCACTGATCGGGAAGTCAGCCATTTTAGGGGCTGTCTCAATCGCAAAAATCTTTTAGTGCACTGAAACTTTTGCTCTATGAAAATCAGGAAGCATTCATGCTCTCTCTGGTCCCTTGACAGTTTTGAAGCATGAATTATGAATCAAATAATTCACAGATAAAAACAAATCACCAAACATAACAAATGAAAGACAAAGGCATATTTCTAAAAAGAAACAAACAATGATACAGAACAATCTAGCAAACATTTAGAAATGATTAACACTTGAAATGTTCCTGGCATATCAAACAATCAAATGATTACGATCTACATGATCTACTGATTCACAACCTTTGGAGCTTGGGATCTGATTGAGACGAAAAATGACTTAAAAAAAAAATTTGAACCAAATTAAATCAGTATTAAGAAGAGCATTATAAAAACTAAAAGCAGAATTTAAAAAACTCCAATTATTAAAAATTGCAGATTTATGTTTCTTTTTTATGATGAATTTTTGACTACACATGCTATTGTTGTTCTGTTTGTATACATTTTAAGTGATGCTGAAATGGGATGTTTTTATAGTTCATTGACCTCTTACTCTATATGTCAACAGATCAATGGAATGTAGTTTCCTTAGGTCATGCCGCTTTGAAATTAGAAGTAATATACAATGTATTGTAAAATTGACAAGTCAGTCAAAATCATGATTTATGCTTTCACCACTTGGCATTGAGTGTATGTGAAGTTGTATGTATCTATGTTGATTTATGATTTCCTCACTCTTATTTTACATAAGAAGACTGTTGTTTAGTCAGAAGTTTGTTTCTTTCTGACCCAATCATAAAGTTTACGAAGTAAGTTTAAAGGGATGTCTGCCATAGTCACTACTGAGTCATTACTTAGCCAGGAGCATGTAAACTATCTGTAAGTATAATTATGTAAGCATAAACCATCACTCTGCCATGTTAATGAGGTTGACCTCATTTATTATTGGGTGGAACTTGTGAAATAAAATTTTGTACATAATAAGTCGTCTGATCGCACAGGCTATAGTATCTTCTAACCAGGCTACTAACATGTAACACCAGACTTGGTGAAATACAAAAAAAAAAAAAAATACTAAAAAAAAAAAAAAAAAAAAAAAATATATATATATATATATATATATATATATATATATATATATATATATATATATATATATATATATATATATATATATATATATATATATATATATATACCGGGCACTTTATTAGGTACACCTTACTAGTACCAGGTTGTACCCCCTTTTGCCTTTAGAACTGCCTTAAACCTTCGTGACATAGACTATACTGGAAATTTTCCTCAGAGATTTTGGTCTATCCCATTTCACCACATCCCAAAGATGCTCTATTGGATTGAGATATGGTGACCATTTAAGTACAGTGAACTTATTGTCATGTTAAAGAAACCAAACTGAGATGATTAGCCGCATTTCCACTATCAGGCCAGTGCGAGCCAGGGCTTATATCGGGCCAGGCCGGGCCAATCGCCCGGGAGGTTGAGCAGTAAGGCCGAAATCATGTCGCGTTTCTACTGTGGGGCTAGTAGCTCGCAGCGCGTCACGCAAACCCCGCCCCCAGAACATCCCCCGAATCGAACGTCACTCAAACCGCCCACTTCAGCGAGAATCATGCAGATAAAGCACATAATCACGAAACTATTAAAATTAGGACAACCAAAACAAACAAATGACACGTTACTGTACAGCAGTACAACGCATGTCTATACGCACATGCCTGTGTGTTTTCATTCATCATATTCATTTACTCGCCGACCGACTATTGGCATCGAAATCCAGTGGTCTTGCCACCAACGGAGGAACCCAGCGCAGGGAGCGCATAATATAACACCACATATACCCTATAAAATTCTCCGTTAATAACTCGATATAAAATGTTTTTTATAACATCCTCTAGACAGAATCTGTCCAACATGCATCCCAAATGCTCCGGAGAGAACTGAAACATGATTTTTTTCCCCCTATAGGCTTTATGACACTTAATAGGTGATTCCCTTTATTTAAAGATGTTGCTTATTATATCTAAAGTAAAGGAAAGTGTTCAGTGTTTCAGCACATAAGAGCAGCACGTAATAAAATATAGCCTATATTTCGTTGCGCTCAGCAGCTATGCACTAATAAAGCTCTTTATGTATTTAAAATTCCCTTTTTTAATTTTACCACGTCATATAAAAACACACACACTTGTTTGAGGACACAGAACACATTTTGAACTTGCAGTTTTCCCCGTCAAAAAAGTGCTGCGCGGCTGCAGACAGAAAAAAAGGTCGCCTATTTCTGCTTTCACTCACCCCGAAAATGCTCAGTTTGCATGATTTGATTAATTTCATCGTATCCAAATACTTTATAAATAATATTTAAAACATTTTCCGGTGTTTATTTTTTTTTATTTTTTTAGAAAATATCTAAAATCTTTTTTTCAAAGAGGCTTTTGAAAAATGAAAGTTTAATATAGGCTAAATTTGAAACAGTTTGATATAGTACCTAATTGTTATAGCTATAGCTTTTGTTAGTTTTATATTGGTTTATTTATTTAATGTGATTTTATTATAGGCCTATCTAATATTTGTAATTCTTTAAATTATTTCAATATAGGGCTATTTTATCTAGATATGACACTATTGTTTTGAGCCTACAAAAGTGGGCATGAAATTTGTAAAGTTTAATATCTTACTGTTGTATTCATATAGTGTATTATCTCCTAAATAAATTAAAACAATAAAAATAAAAGAAAAAAGCCGCTCGCGGCATCAACAGAGCCATGAATGGAGCGCTTTTTTCGGTCTCACACACATACACAGGCATCTAAACGCGCAAAAACACACACAGTATTAAACTTGACAAAACCTCTTGAAAACCTTTACTGTCTGCTGTGTCTTTAATATGGTGTAAAGATTATTATGCGTTATTGAAACATCAAAGATGCAGCAAAGAAAGATCATTTTATGCAACAGCCTTACATTTAAAAGAGAAACTTAAGGGCGATCATATGCAAAAAAAGACCCCAGACTATAATTTGTTCCAGATGTTTTCTTTCCCTTATTTATTTATTTGTTTGGCGCATGTACTCGAGTGCGATCGGAAAACTGTGCCCGCCTCTCCTATCACTCCGCCCCGAAGCCCCGGCTGGCCCTCCTTGGCCCAAGGTATTCGGCGGGCCGAAAAAGGCTGGCCGTTGGCCCCGAGAAAGCCCCGCTTTGGCCCGATTAGGCCCCGGAAGTGACAGTGGAAACGCCACTGGCCTTGGCTCGCCCTGGCTCGCTCGCTTTAGGCGCGATAGTGGAAACGCGGCTATTTGTTGCTTGGACATGGTCAGCAACAATATTCGTATAGGTCTTTCTATCAGCTGGAACCAGTCTGGCCATTCTCCTCTGACCTCTGGCATCAATAAGGTATTTGCACCCACAGAAGTGTATCTCACTGGATATTTTCTCTTTTTCAAACCATTCTCTATAAACCCTGGAGATGGTTGAAAATCCCAGTAGATCTGCTGTTTCTGAATTACCCAGAGCAGTTGGACAGGTGTACCTAATATAGTGGCCAGTCAGTGTATATTGAACACTACAGATATCATGACTTGAGATTATAGTTTGTGGCGTGATAGGAATTTGAACAGCAGACACCGTATGAGAAGTGCCTTGCAGCATTGCATCTTTAAAATTCTTAACTTTGTTTTTCTTAGTCTAAATCAAGCAAATTCAGCAGGATAAAAACATGCGCCTGTCAATGCTTATTATTTTTCTGTTTCTAGCTTGCGATTACACACAGGCCCGCATCATTGTGGTCTAATTTCAATACAGAATTGATTTGGAACATTTGAGAATTGATTCAGAAGCGCTAGAAAAGGAATCATTTATATTTCTCATATAAATTTTATGTGAACCTTTCTCAGGTTCTGGACGCACCATGATGATCGCTTCCTCTACATGTTGATGGAATATGTGAATGGCGGTGAACTCTTCAGCTATTTACGCAGCCGAGGACATTTCAGTAACAGTACGGGAATGTTTTATTCAGCTGAAATCGTGTGCGCCATTGAATACCTTCACTCCAAAGAAATCGTCTACAGAGACCTGAAGCCAGAGAATATATTGCTGGACAGTGAGGGGCACATTCGACTGACAGATTTCGGGTTTGCTAAAAAGCTCTCCGAAAGGTATGTTGCTATTGTTTATCCACTAAAACATTGTAATAGCTTAAAGGGTCACGAAACACCAAAACACATTTTTTGAGATGTCAAATGTCATTTATGTGTTCCACGGTGCTAAAAATCACTATTAGAATATATTTTACATATATTTTACAAAAAAGTGAAAATTGGTTGTTTTGGGGTTATTTTACGAAAATTTGTTCTTTTGGTTTGAAAAGAAGTTTTGAAGCAACACAAATGGCCCTGAGATCCTTGTGTAAATTCATTGTAGGCTGGATGTCTGTACAGACTAGTTCTCAGCATTAATTCATGTGAAATACTTGGTTCGAACCAGAGCTTGCTTTGTGCCGGAACAAGCCGGATCTGGATCTGGCACCACTGAAGTCTGATCCGGCACCTCATTTTACCAATCCCACTCATCACACGCACCCCCACCCTGCACCCTCCTCAACCCGCCCTGCTCTTCTTTGACCCCCCCCCCCCCCCCTTTATTTTTGTCCGCAACTTTCATTTGTCAAAATGATTTAGTTACTGCATTTATGGTAATATCACTACAATATTATGGACTGAAAGATTCACTGCATTTCGTGAAAGGAAAGTCTATACACACAGCTGTTTGACACTATTCTCTGCACCTACCGAGTCTCTGCATCTACAGAGAAATGACGAGGGGTTTTTTTTCTCCCGTATGGCATGCGGTATAAAAAATTCCATGAAAACAACACTCCTCCGGCTGTTCCTCACATCCAATATCTTGTTTGTCACAAGTGGGGGCATGGTAATGCTTTTTCAACATTTAGATGACCAAACTGGTCATGTTTATTTTTTTTCATGTTATTTATCAATACTTTATGCAGGCACTGCAATAATTCGTTTTAAAAAGTGTTTTATGTTTCTTGTTATATTTTTACATTCTTAATTGAACGTTTGCACAGAATAAAGTAAGAAAGATAATTATATTTGAAAGAGTACATATTTGAGTATATACTTTAAAATGTCAAAAAGACGTGGTTATTTCCATATACTTAATAATAACTAATTGAATATATTGTGCATATACAGTTGAAGTCCGAAATATTAGCCTCCCTGAATTATTAGGTCCCCTGCTTATTTTTTTCCAAATTTCTGTTTAAGGGAGAGAAATTTTTTTTTCAACACATTTCTAAACATGATAGTTTTAATAACTCATTTCTAATATGATTTATTTTATCTTTGCCATGATGACAGTAAATAATATTTGACTAGATATTTTTCAAGACACTTCTATACAGCCTAAAGTGACATTTTAAAAGCTTAATTAGGTAAACCAGGCAGGATAGGGTAATTAGGCACGTGATTGTATAATGATGGTTTGTTCTGTAGAACAATATGTGTCTTGCTCCTTGGTGCATTCTAATTAAACATAAACATAACCACGGTGCTAAAAATCACTATTAGAATATATTTTACATATATTTTACAAAAAAGTGAAAATTGGTTGTTTTGGGGTTATTTTACGAAAATTTGGTTCGAACCAGAGCTTGCTTTGTGCCGGAACAAGCCGGATCTGGATCTGGCACCACTGAAGTCTGATCCGGCACCTCATTTTACCAATCCCACTCATCACACGCACCCCCACCCTGCACCCTCCTCAACCCGCCCTGCTCTTCCTTGACCCCCCCCCCCCCCCCCCTTTATTTTTGTCCGCAACTTTCATTTGTCAAAATGATTTAGTTACTGCATTTATGGTAATATCACTACAATATTATGGACTGAAAGATTCACTGCATTTCGTGAAAGGAAAGTCTATACACACAGCTGTTTGACACTATTCTCTGCACCTACCGAGTCTCTGCATCTACAGAGAAATGACGAGGGTTTTTTTTTCTCCCGTATGGCATGCGGTATAAAAAATTCCATGAAAACAACACTCCTCCGGCTGTTCCTCACATCCAATATCTTGTTTGTCACAAGTGGGGGCATGCATAAATGTTCCTGAATGAAAGTGAAAGTGCCAAACTGCAGTTAAAGTCGACAACTCAAGAATTAAACATCCAAAATTACATGACACAATGACGTTAATTGAATTATGTGCTATAAAATTTAAAACGGGATCATGAAAGGAACATTCAAAAAGTAACTCATGTGAACACCTTAATAATATTATTGAGATTAAGGCAAATTATTCGATTACTAATGTCCATGTAAACATAGTCACTGTCTATCTTCCCTGTGTCTGTTTGTGTTGCCGCTTTGAAATCACAGCATGAAATCAGCGCGTACATTACTGAAACTTCCCTTTTAAAGCAAACCCTTCTCTCTTTCACCACTTGACATTCCCACCTCAACAAAGCTAAACACCTTCCTGATTTTTTTTATAAATAGGTATAGGTGAATTAAGTAAACAAAATTGGCTATAGTGTGTGTGTGTGTGTGTGTGTGTGTGTGTGTGTGTGTGTGTGTGTGTGTTTCTCAGTACTGGATTGCAAGAAAGGGCATCCATTGTTTAAAACACATGCTGGAATAGTTGGCAGTAGGTCTTTGTGTTTAATTGAAATCGAATCGTTATCCCAATTTAAAACGTCGCGATTAACTAATTGCAAGAAGCTGTGATATAAAATATATATGTATTATTTAATTTTCCCCGCCTAGAGCAAGTGCGTGACTGTCGTTTGTGTGTGATGGTCTTACTAGACAATTGAGTGAGCACACTTTTGTTATGCCCAATCTGAATTGCGCAACTGCGGAATTGCAGAACGCCCACAAAAAAACATAGGGAAAGTGCGGACAATTGGGATAATGGCATCTGCTGCTTCTGAAGCATTAATAGACAAATTAATATCAAAGAAAAAAAGGACATTGGTAATATGAGAAAATTTTGGTTTCAAAGTCAAAGACACCAAACAAAAACAGGTCATTTTTAAGAGCTGTCGCAGAATTGTTGCCACGGATTACAGATTATTGACCGGAAGCTTGAATAAAAAATACAATTGCAAATCAAATCTCAATCGCAATATCTGTCAGAAAAATCACAATTCGATATTTTCCCCAAACCGCACAACCTTAGTTGGCAGTTTATTCCGCTGTGGCAACCCCGATAAATAAGGGACTAAGATGAAAGAAAATGTATGAATAAATGAATTTCCTAATTAATCCCATTAATTAACTTCAATAGCACTAGTAAATAGACATGTTTATACATGCTTTTTATTTTAGTATCAAGAATATGTCCAACTTTTCTTGTCAAAGAGCTTAAGAATCAGAAAAAAATGCGGTGAAAGATTGGCATTGCAGACAGTTGCACATTCTTATATTTAATCTCTAAAAATGTCATTGGCACATTCCTAGTCTAACAGACATGATGGAATTTGACTGCAGAATTCACACTTTTTTTGTTTGCTGTTGATGTCTTCTCGGATGATATATTGGTACACTGAAGTATACTCATTACTCCTTAACGCACTCCTAAATAGGTCTGTTGATTTTGTGAAATCTTTTGAAGTTATTTTTAAGTACATAAACCAAGGTAAGAGAGAGATGGAGTGCAGTTATCTGAAGTGAGTTTCTTTGATGATTTAAATTGATTTTAGCATTAGGCATGCTCTAGACGTTTACCTTAATTCCATGGCATTTTAGCATTCGCCGTGTTTTCATTGTCAAATGAAAAGAGATTGTTCATTCAAGAAGAAAGTCTTGCTTCAGCTTCTTTTTCTCAGTGAATTATTAAGGCAGGTTTTTAGCTGAAACTGTTCTTGGTGGTTCATAAAAACATTGTCTGCTTGCTCTTAGAAAGTCAAAAATCATAATGAAGCAAAACAATGATCTGTCCAATAAGCAGCATTATTACTTTAATTCACAGCTTTTACAAATAGTCCTGAGCACATATGCAGCTGAAAGCTTGTGCTGCAGATAGCTGTGAACTTGTTCAGGACCATTTGCCATGACTTTGGGAAAGAGGTAATTATGTTGTAAATAATGTTATGTTTCTTGCACAGACTAAACTTTTTGCTTCATAAAGTCTCAATTTATCGTCAGGAGCCACATGTGCTTATTTGGTTGTGCCCATATTTTTCTTTTTTTCTTCTTCTACTCACTCATTGACTCTCAAAGTGTTGACTTGCAGTTATAAATTATGAATCAACAAGGTAAATTATTTCAGATTAGAACCATATTCAATTGTTATATTATATTTGCCATGAACTTACTGACCTTAAAACTGAATATTCAGCAAAAGAGACAGGGTGTGTTTCTTAATTGTCTAAGAAAATGGAAAGAGGCAGTTGTTATTGGCTCAGTTTTTTTTTATTAATTATGCATACAGTTAAGATGACAGTCATATAAATATGCAGCTATATGACACCTCAACATTTTTAGTGTTCGTTAAGTTAATATCTAAGTGAAAATAGGCAGTAAAGTAGCCTACACTGTTCCCTTTGAAGATTTACCCGATGTGTCCTCTGGAGTTTGTTTTCCATATCAAACTTGCGAAGTCTGGACTTAAGGAAACAGTGTGCAAGACTGAACTTTGTGCACTTAATATTGAGAAAAACTCCAATCAGATGTCTGATTGGACCTCCGTTTTCAGATGTCTCCGTTTTTCCCCATTCCCACGGACACAGAGCAGCAGCGTTTTAAATTGAAAACCGCCTCTTCAGCATTTTCAAAGAGCTTAGTTTTCAGTGCTCAAAAACTCTTGCATAGTGAGGGCGGAAGGCGTAACCGTAGCAAAATGTATGTGTTTTAAAACTAAAACGTATTAATGTAAACAGGACCTTGCATACAAGAGGCTTATTGAAGCTCTCATTACCCCAAAAATAATAAGTACATTTCATTAGTTTAGTACTTTTTCCTCGTGTCATTCCATTGTTATTAATCATGTTTTGTTTCATCTTTATGGTTGAATTGTTTAGGGTTTTACCAAAATCTGGTACAATGTCATGTCAACTTCTTCTTTAGAAATGTATTCACCAGAAAACAAAAATCAGAACATGGTCAATTCTTATATTCCCTGCTGGCTTGTTTCATAA